TCAGTGTTGTTGGTGATGGCTGTGGTGGTGGTAGCGTTGCGGGATGTGGTTGAATAGATGGTGGAGATGGTGGGGTGTTTCCTTGTCTCTTACACTCAACTTCTCTTGCTCGCCAACACCCGCACCCCCTCCCCTTCCTGCAGCTCAGCCACGCCCTTGCTTCTCGTGTGTCCTGCTTGTAGGATCGTTTGTGTACCTACGGCTGCTTGCTTGTCCAATTCCTGGGTATGACGTGCTTGTATCCAGTGTCTCTACCAGTCTACTTGCTTGTTGGGCCCCCTTAACTCTGGCCACGTCCTCCCACTTGTAGAAAGTGACTCATCTGCCAGTAAGGCCGCTTGCTTGCCTGCTTACTGGGCCACGCCCTCTACCGTACTTATGACCTGCTTGGAGGCCAATGTGTCTCCATGCCCGCCCTCCTACCTGCTAACATACACCCGCGCCACACCCTTATTACAATTCTGTATTACCTGCTTGCTTCAGCGCTTGCCTGAACACGTCTACCTGTCGGCTTATTTCCCTCCACGCTCAAATTCACTCTCGTCTGTCTTCCTTCTGTTTCACTTGTCTGTCTGTCTGTCTTTTTTCACTATCTCCCTCCCTCCCTCCCCCTCCCTCCCTCCTCCCTCCCTCCCTCCCCTCCCTCCCCTCCCTCCCTCCTCCCTCCCTTCCTCCCTTCCTTCCTTCCTTCCTTCCTTCCTTCCTTCCTTCCTTCCCTTCCTTCCTTCCTTCCTTCCTTCCTTCTTCCTTCCTTCCTTCCTTCCTTCCCTTCCTTCCTTCCTTCCTTCCTTCCTTCTCATCTCCTCACCACCTTTCTATCTCTGAGACCATTAATCTCATCACGTAACACACATACTGTACTTATTTTAGCCACACCTTTACTCACACCTCAGGACCCTCCGAAGCCCTCACTCCACCCCAGAACCTCCGAGCCCTCAATCCACCCCAGAACCTCCGAGTTTCAATCCACCCCAGAACCTCCTCACTACCTTAACTCCACC